TGGGGAGAGGGAAGAGTTTCAATTTGCTGTTTCTTCGTATGATTCTATAAACCAATTTTCCACGATGTCTATTCTAGGTTGCCACTTTATTTAGTCAAATTTCAACAAAAACATATGGCTTAAAATTAGTAAAACGTCAAACCCTTATCCTATATGCAACAATAGTTTTGTTCTTCAATTGTGAGAACACAAAACCACAGTCTAGAATCCTATAAATGCTTTTATCTTTTTCTAATTTCATCACTTGACAACTTGAAAAATCATAGTAAAATATATTCTCTTCTCTTTTTCCTAAAGCAAAATTACAAACATCTCTTTTGAGTCTTGACCTGGGATTTAAAAACAACAAAATAAATTTACTACAACTCCTTTGAAAACTTATACTCTAGTACGAAACTTATTTTAACTAAAAATATAAAAACCTCTTTTTATATAATTCTAATACATATCCTAATTATACATGAATTAAATAAACTAGCAAATACTAAATCTTAAACAATTTAAGTTTCCTATTACAATTTTGAATTTGTTATCTAACAGATATACTTCGATTATATTAAAATATTACATGAGATATTTATTTATTTCAAGATTGACATACAATTTGTTAGGCCTCTTTTTTGAGTTGATTGCTTGCTTGGTTTACTTGTGCTAAGAAGCAACAATTATTTACCAAATAAATTTCAGCAACAAATATTGGGAAATTTGAATGGATCTTCTAAAATGTCATGTGTTGTTAACCAGGAAACATTGATGAAGCGTTATCTAACCAGGATAAATGCCTAATATGCGTATACATGTTTTTAATCTTAATTATGTATTTTCTTCATTAATATTTGCTACCAAATAATTGAAAGTAATCCCTTTTTCTAAATGAAAGTTAAAACGGCAGTTCAGTGCACTAACCTCCCGCTATGTGTGAGGTTCAAGGAAGAGTCGGATCATAAAGGTCTTGTTGTATGCAACCTTACCCTGCATTTCTACAAAATATTATTTTTACGGCCCGAACTCGTAACCTTCTGATCAGATGGCAGCAATATTACCGATTATTATGCCAATGCTCCCTTCTAAATGAAAGCAAAAGGCCTTGCTACAATAGAATTGACAATGGTATATAAAAGATTAATAATTCATTCAAACGTTAANTGAAAGATTAATTACTTGTTTTTCATGTTTATTTCATGTTCGTATTATTGTTGAAGTGAATATTACCGGAAGTGAAATAGACAGGAAAAGTAAAGACATAGAAAAACTCCAGCTGCTGCAGAACGGCTCAGAAGGGCAGCTTACCGGAAGTTTCAAGCCAAAGAGTCCACTCTATGCTCCGGACTGGTGGCCAGATGCACCTGCCTCAAAGCATGCACAATCAAGTGCAGAAGCGTAGTATGACTATATAAACAACATGTATCCAATAAGTATCTAGTCTAACCTCAAAGAAGTAGTGACGAGGGGTCGACTTGACACTTACTAGGGCCAACAAATACAATAATATGAAGTTCAATATTTTAATTCTCAATGTACGTAGATAACAACAAGCTCAAACAAGAATAATACTGAAAATCCTTTCATCAAATCAATAAATCTAGGTACTTCCTTCATTTAAAACAAGTGACCTTTCAAGCAATGAATCATACGAATTATAGAGGTTCCGGTTCTATTATCACGCACAAATACCACCGAGGACGTTCGGTCTGATCCAACATAACAGTAAATTGTGCACTACTGAGGGTCGAACGGCCTGAACCATATATATATATATATATATATATATATATATATAATTATCAACCTACCGAAGCGAACGACCTGCTCCCATAAGAGTAGTGAAAATAATCACCCCGCTCGCGGAATATACTTGCGACACGAGTAAGTATAAATAAAACTTAAAAGTTTCCTCAATTCTTTTCAAAATAAATATTTATGTGAAATCCTTGAAATCATGACATTCTCAACGAAGTTTAATTCAATGCAAATCAACAATTTATAATCATACAACGACACCCCCAAAGCATGGTGTAAGCCTAGACTACCCGGACATAACAGGAATAGTAGCTATGTACGGACTCTCGTCACTTCGTACGTACGTCCCTCTTAGAAGGTTAGAAAAGAGACTTACCTCGTTTCGAGCCTACTTCCAACTCAAGAACGCGCTCAAACCCTAAAACTGGAGCCGCAAAATTCAAAACTAGTCAAATAGTGTAAAAACCATTCATTATAGGTTTACAAGTTCATAATCTAGCTATTAAATTGATTATCCAACCCCAAAGTCAAGATCCCTAAAATTCATCCCTGGGCCCACCGCCCACGTTCCCGGATTCCGGAAATTTTCGAAGAAAATTGTCACCTATAATCTAAGGATCAAGAATATTTGATTTTTACTTCATTCCATAACGAATTTCGTGGTTAAATCTTGTTTTTATCAACAACCTAGGTTTTAATCTAAACTCATAATTTCTACTAATTTATATGTTGTAATCTACCTATAAACTATGTATTAAACTCGCATTAAGTAGAAACAACTTACCTCACAAAGCTAGGTTGAAATCTCCCCTTTTGAAGCTCCCAAATCGCCCAAGAGTTGAAAGAAAATGACCCAAATGGTCTAAGTCCCACATTTATTAAGCTGTGTACAGGTCTCAGATGTCGTATTTGCAATATCTGGTTCGCAAATACGAAGGTCGCAATTGTGGCAAAAGCATCACAGATGCAAACCTAGGCTCTCTCTGCAAGAGTCGCAAATGCGACAAAAGGGGTTGCAAATGTGGACTCTGCTGGGTTCGCAAATGCGATCAAAATGTCGCAAATGCGATCGCTGCCCAGCTCAGTCTTCTTCGCAATTTCGAAGCCTTCCTCGCAAATGCGAACAAACCTTGCATTTGCGAGACCTGCAACATCTGCCATGAGACACTAGAAAATTGGAGTGTTTTCACTCCTATCACACATCTGAAGCTCATCTGAGCCATTGGGGCTCCATACCGAAGGACCTCGATATCACCAAAATGCATTCCAAACCAAATTTATAGAACTTCTAAAACCTTCAAGAACCAACTTTCATTATTATGCGCTAAAACGCTCCCAGGTCATCCAAAACCCGATCCGGACATAATCCCAAGTCAAAAATCATCATACGAACCTATTGAAATCGTCAAATCTCGATTCCGAGGTCATTTACTCAAAATATTGACCAAAGTCAAACTTGGCCTTTTAAGCCAACCTTAAGGAACCAAGTGCTCCGATTTCAACACAAACTCTTCCAAATCCCTAACTAACCATCTCCGCAATTCATAAATCAGTTAAAGTAAGTACAAGAAGTCTTATTTAAGGGAATGGGGTTCTAGAAAGAAAAACGAACAGTCGGTCGTTACATTCTCCACCTCTTAAATAAACGTTCGTCCTCGAACGGGTTAGATTCCTACCTGAAGTGTTGAACAAGTGTGGATATCTGCCCCGCATGTGCTCCTCGGACTCCCAGGTCGCCTTCTCGACTGGTTGGACCCTCCACTGGACCTTTATCACAAAAATCTTCTTGGATCTCAACTGGCGATTATGTCAACAATGGCAACTAGCTCCTCATCATAACCCAAGCTCTCATTTAGCTGGATAGTACTGAAGTCTTAACACATGAGACAAGTCGACGTGGTACCTCTAAAGAATAGACACGTGAAAAAATGGATGAACCCCTGATAGGCTGGGAGGTAAAGCAAGCTCATAAGAAACCTCTCCAACTCGCCTCAACACCTCAAATGGGCCTATAAACCTTGGGCTCAACTTGCCCTTCTTCCCGAATCGCATAATACCCTTCATTGGCGAAACTTTCAAGAGAACCTTCTCGCCGACCATGAATGATACATCACGCACCTTCTGATCCCCGTAACTCTTC